CGTGCATGTAGTAGAGGTTCTAAAGGCACAGGTCACAATAATTCTGGGTTATCTAGTTTCCAACGAGCAATGGAGGTGATAGTTCAGAGTAGTGCAAAAGCAGTGAAGAAAACGCGAAATCGGAGTATTAGGGAATTATAAAGTTTTAAAAAATAGTAAAATAGCAAGGTTTAAGCATTAAAGCTTTTACTACGCTTAACAACCCGTCCACCTTGGGTGTGTACGTCGGCTAAGCCGGTTTCGAGGACCCTTATTGCGCCCTATCTTGACTTTTTCTACCCGACAGCGTTCCTTAGACTAACATTGGGTGCTACACGCTCGTCCTAAAAAGAAATCACAAAAACCATTTTTAAAGTGAAGGGCCTTTGGGCTGCTGTGGGATTACTGTATCACGAATTCATTTCAGACTGCAAAGTCTGTCTTGTAACAGCACCAAGTCCTACCCGGAGAAAGAAGCCCAATCTCATAAACCAGCTGCAGTGACGCTGGGTTTTTTGGGCCATTGAAGGCAGACCATCTGACGGCACTACAGTTTTGCTTACAGGGATGATTACAAGGATTTTCACCAGGAGACGGATACTTAGAAGTTTTTTCTTCGATTTCTTCTCTCATCAAATTATCATAGTACCGTAAAGAACATGGCTAAATCAAGAGGCTAACATCAATCATGGCGGTCACTTATGAATCGCGGCGGTTGATAAAAAAGAAATGCTCGAAGCATCACAAATGCCAGAAAGCTCCCAGACCGAATGAAAACCCATTACTGCCTATCAAAACCCTATCAATGATATCCGGGAATAGCTCAAGAAGAACATAGCAAATGGTGTTGGAGTCGTAGCCTGGTGAATGATTTCAGGCTTTGATGGCAAACTTGTCCACGGGAGGCGGCCAGATGAGGCGACACCGCCCTATCGATTGACTGTCTGGTAGAAGTTGGACTCCTCGTAATAAATGAATGAAAGGCGTCCATAGCGAAGTTGCAAATGGGTAGAATGCCCATATAGGATATTTCCTTCTGGGAATGTACGATACGAACTTCTTCATAATCGTGCCTTGTAAACAGGCAAACATACTACCCGACAATTCGACTGACAGACCGACAAAGAAGCCGATTTATCAAGTCACTGCATTATGCATAGGAAGGATCTAACAGTTTCACCAGGAGCCCCTGCTACTGTCACATCTGCTACTACCATTGTGGTATTCCTTGTTTCATTTGAATCCGGATCGTCTCGTTTGGGAGGACAAAAGCATTGCATTGTACATCGGCTGGATGATATACATAGACCGTGTACGCATTCAATCCCCCACTACGTTTTTGAATGGAAATCGAATGCGGGGCGCATTCCTTAGGCGGGATTGGTCAGCGTCTAAAGATTTCATCCTTTTTATCATTTTATTTTTTCGCTAACATTCATCATTGTTTTCGAGGAGCTTTCGCAGCTCCATATGTTATTTTACTTGCACCTTGGTGGTCCCTTTAGTGACCATGGTTTCAGTTTCTCTACCCACATTACAGGTGTCGAAGACGTTAGAGAACAGACTTTATGTCAGGCTTTGCTTTCCTGAAGATGTACTGGAATAAAGGAAATGGGATAGATAAGAGGTTCGTGGTGATGTGAAGGAAAAGCTTAAGTTTGAATAAAGAACAAAGTTCCGGAATGCTCTCCCGCATTCGAGTCCCATTCAGTATTCTAGTGAATTGTNTTTATCCTCCCAGACGAGTCTGACACCAATTAACCGATTCGGGAAAGACTGAGAGGCTCGGTTGGCCTAGGCGGATCCGAGATTCGATTCCTGAACAATACGTGTGTGATAGTGCGCCACTTGCAACTACACCACCTTCGCCAAGCTCTAGGCTCATCAGGAAATCCATAAGCACCAACACAGCCTTCTTTTGCACACAGGACTGGGTGCTTGAACTTATTATTCAATTCTCTTTGCCTTTTTCTTGGTTTGGAATAAATGAATTAGGAGATTAGTTATTGAATTAGTCAATCCCGTTTTGAGTTGCACGCAGAAGCGACTTCTACTCAGAATCCTAACAGAGTTTTTAAAAGCGTATGTGGCCTATTCAATGTTTATCAAAGCCAGGCGATGTACAAGTCAGAGCTTTTGTCCTCCCAGATGAGTCCTGTACCAATTAACCGACCCCGGAGGGTTGAAAACTTTGGTCGGCTTGAGCGAGTTTTGATCAGGGATTTGATCCTCGGTCCATACTTGTAGAATAACGCATATCTTGCCACTACACCGCCTTCGCCCTCGTAATAAATATGAACATACTCTGTCGATTCATGGGCCAGCTATGCTGAGTCATGCGCCAGCTCGAGACAGACACCGAGGTTTCATCAGCTCCGCCGACGCACCTCGTCACTATTTCATAATACTGAGGTAGAAACCTCGGTATAAAAGGAGCCGCCTCATGGAGTCGAGGTCGTCGTCTCTCGGATGCCACCTTAGCCTCCAGGCTACCCCCGACCCTTTGTCTAGGCTATCACCTGCCCTCTCGTCCTGTCCCCCTTATATCCACTCTTGTAATTTACTCATTTAATAAACATATATATATATATATATATATATATATATATATATATATATATATATAT